ACTCGCCCTCTGTAAGAACCCCCTCCCCCCATTATAGATTATTGAACGCTCACCTTCTAAAATAAGGACAAAGACTGGATATCTTTAATCACCACTTTATTTAAACAGACATCACATAGTTGCTGTTATGATACACTGATAAGTCCACAAAATTACTGCCCCCCCGCACAAAAAGCATTAATTATAAAGAAACACCAGACAAACTCAAATTGAGAGACATTCCACAAAGCAACTGGTTTATACACTTCACTTCAAAATGTCAAGTTATCAAATACAAAGAAAAGCTGAGGAACTGCTCCACACTGATAGAAACTGAAGTCTTAACAGTGTGTGACGCTGGGTCCAATCCTGGACCTACAGAGGGTATTTTGGGGCAATCTATAAAATCCGAATAAGTTATATGGAGTAGAGGGTTATATCGTCTCGATGTTCATTATATCATATCAATGATTTTGGTGATGTGATGGTGGTTATGTAGAAGAGTAATCTTAAGAGTGTCCACCATGACAAGTACCAACACTATTTCCTGGCTCTATGGCACATGTAGATTAGGATAATGGGCATCCTGGATATGATTCTCCGTTCGGTCACCTGCAAGCAATATGTGGTGAAAGGACCTAGAACACAAAGCAATGTGTTGACACTGAACGTGAGAATTCATAAAGCACAGTAAAAAGGAATGCCCAGACAGGCAGTAAAGGGAATAAGAGTCAAAGACAGACGAAGCATAAAGCATTCAAGTATTAGATAAGAGCACTCAAAAAGGCAGATAGCTGGTTGGTCTTGGAATTGGGGGGCAATCAAGGATAACAGGTATGAGAAGTAAAAACAATAGCTAACCTCCAGCCCAACAGCTTCTATCATATTCGTTATCAGAAGACCTGCATTCTGTCACCAGCTTTAGTGAAAACTGTAAATACTACTCAGCAATAAAAAAAGAAAATACTGATCCATGACACAACATGAAAGACACTCAAAAACATTATGGTAAATGAAAGAAGCCGGACGCAAAAGACTACATACTGCATGAGGCCACTTATATGAAATGTCCAGAAACGTCTGAACTGTAATGACAGAAGATAACTGGTGGCCTGGGAGAAGGAATGGGATGGCAATGGAGATTAATTGTAATTTCAATTTGATTACAGTAATAACTCATTTGTAATCCCAAAATTGAGGGTCTCTGCCTCACTTTTCTCATTTTCTATTTGTAACAATTACAGTAACTCATAAGGGCTCTTTGAAGATCAAATGAGATCATTCAAGGTTAAGAGCTTAGAACAATGCCTGGCACTTAGTAAGGGCTCAAGATATACACACACGTCCAGCTTAAAAACTTAGAAAATAAAATGCATGTAGAATATAGCGTGCATGCAATAAATTATAAACATAGGGAAAGTAAATTCATACTTATTTAAAAATTCAGCAACAGCCCTGCCGGGTGGCTCAGTTAGAGCATCGTCCCATACACCAAAAGGTTGCAGGTTCGATTGCCGGTCAGGGCACATACCTAGGTTGCAGGTTCAATTGCTGGTCTGGGCACATGCCAGAGGCAACTAACTGATCGATGTTTCCCTCTCACATGGCTCTCTCTCTCTCTCTCTCTCTCTCTCTCTCTCTCTCTCTTTCTCTCTCCCCCCTTCCCTTCTTCTCTAAAAATATATCCTCGGGTGAGGATTAAAAAATGATTCAGCAACAAACTATACTTCAATCTAGACCTATGCCTTAATCAAAGTAAATAGTTCAAAATACATTGGGAGAACTTTTAAAATATACTCATAAATGATAACAAAGGAAACATACTAAATGTATTATTTCTCTAAGAGTATAAGGAAATGTTGAGATTCTTCCTCAGCCTCTCATCTTTGAAAGTTGACATTTTGATGTGTAATTCTGTAATTACATGATTTTTCAGTATTTTCCACATTTTTCTATACATTAAAGTCCTTTGTGGAGACTGGACTTCCATTTTATACTTTTACTTTAGTAAATTTTTTATTATAGAGCAGGCTGTTGTTCATCTATAATACAATCTTGGGACCAAAAACAAAAAAAACAAAAACAAAAACAAACAGAAGTCACTACTACTGAGGCCAAAGGCACCTACCTCATTGACATACATACACTCTTCCATGTTTTCTTGTCCTTCGTAACATACTCTATGGTATCAGAGGAATCAAAATTCTCTTCCCGGCAGGTGTCAAATAATGATAGAGATACTGCCTCCAGAACTCAATCCTGTTCATTGACTCTTTAAATACAGGTACACAAAGTGAAAAGTTGCTAACCCACCACTCCATCAGACAAATAAATACTTGCTTAATTTTAATCTTTTGAAGTAACTACTCCATTGAACATAACCTGTATATCTTTGGTTAAACAATATTGTCTCACCAGCATCAACATTTACATTCTCTTATTTGTCATCTCTAAGACCATTTATAAAACGAACTTCTGTCTTCATTATTCTCTAATTCCTTAAGTATTCCCAGAAAAACCTCCGAACATGAGAAAGTAGAGACAACTTTCAATATTTGATAAATTTTATCTTGATAACATCGAAAACAATTTTACTCTTTAAATTGCATTATAAAAAATACATTTAGTCTTCACATTAATTTCACATGGAAATATATAGCTGCTTGAATATTTAAATATAGCTTTTCTTTACCAAAAGTGTCACTCAAAGCCCTACTTACACAAATAATTTAAATGCACAAATGCCAACACACTTTACACAATATTGCCCACATACTATTTAACTTGGGACAATTATAATAAGAATCTATGCAAGATACTGAACAAGTACAAGATTAATAAAATATTCATTGTGGTGGTAATTCAATTTTCACTATTAAAAGAACTTAATGCACTCTTGAATACACAAAAAACATCCAACTGTTTAATCTGCAAATGAAGCCAAAGTATATTTTGACAAGGGGGCACATCTTGTAACCTACCAAATTCTGAAAGTAACTCATTTCTAATTTAACTGAAATTATAATTTTTACAATTTTCCATTCTCAAGCTTGTCTAAAATAATGATGATTACAGAAACTTAAATAGTTCCAAAATGTTTTAAAACATATCAGGACTATATACTTTAATATTTTTAGTAATATAAATTTTTAAATATAAACCTTTTCTTCTCAAAAAAATGGAACTTAGAAGAGTTTCTAACGTGGAAAAGCTAGTAAATTTTTATGTTTGATCATTTGAATGATAAGAACTGTCCTCTTTGCATGATGCAATCACAACAGATATGATACATCATAATTTCACAGTGCATTATTTCCATATGATCTGTAGCTTTTAAATCTACACTAAAAGTATGCAGAATGCCTGCTGATAGTTCTTCGGGGAATTCTATGTCTACTTCATAGGAAAAAAGACACCAATACCCACAAATAGAATATTCTTTATATATTAGCTGCTTGTACTTCCTAATCAGTAGGACAGTCTTCTTCCTAAATTAAAATTGGAAAATTATTTTAAACCAGTGATCCACAGTGATATTTTAAGAAAGGAAATTAAAATATTTTATATGAGGCAAAGTTAAAGTTGCTTTACAACTAAAAATATAAACATTTGTCCATTTTTTCAATATAATTACTGTTTTAAATTTAAAAGTAAATAAATTTAGAAGTAAGGAAATTAACACCATCATAGCATATGCACAGGTTAAATAATGGCCCCTGAAATAAAACTACACTTAGAAATCAACTGTTACAACACTATACTTCATTAATTCTAAGATAACAACACACTTATATCTCTGAAATCATGGTACACTGATATAGGTTCAATGAAGTATGGTTTATACAATATAGTTTAAATTCATGTTTTCCTTTAACATTAACAATAAATAATCCAGAATCCTTGGCTTAAGGATAAATGGACCCATCTGAACTAGCTCAACCAATGTCCTTGAATAAAGGATCTAAACACATTCTGAGTATCTCAGACTGAAAATCTGCTTATATTAACATCTTCTATTTGATCATTAAAATAGTTAGCAAGTTGCCCAGCCGGTGTGGCTCAGTGTTTGAGCGTCGACCCATGAACCAGATGGTCATGGTCTGATTCCCGGTCAGGACACATGCCCGGATTTCGGGCTCCAACCCCAATAGGGCACGTGCAGGAGGCAGCAGATTGATAATTCTCTCTCATCATTGATGTTCCTTTCTCTATCTCACTCCCTTCCTCTCTCTGAAATCAACAGAACTTTTTTTTAAATAAAGTAGTTAGCAAGTTCAAGGAAAGCCAATCTAATGTTCAAATACATAATTTCTCACTTGCAAAACGAGCCTCCATTGGTTTGTCGATTTTATTAGATCTTTTCAGGTATCAAGATTATAAATACGTAATTGGTTCATGACAACATCAATGGTCTGGTCATCAAATTACCAAACCAATAATTTCAGTTCAAGCTATTAAAAGTAGTATGGTAGTGTCTAAAATATTTTTAAGAGATACGGCCATAGATAACCTGGATTCTCATATTAAACCACCAACCCTTCCAGTGCAAGGGAATAAAGGTGATAGAAAAGTATACTCACATTGGCAAGATTGTTTTCCCCTTAAGATACCATAATGCTAAAGGAAAACAGAGATTGTTTATTACAGAGATTGTGTATGTGCATGTGTCCAGATGTGGAAAGTTAGAGACTTGTAGATCCATTTTAAATAAAGCAGAAAGAGTTGTGCTATGTGTATAAAATTACCAGGCAGTTTTTAAAATCTGGATTAAAGATTATGGAATCTCATTATCTGGAATGCTTTTGAAAGAAAGGTTAAGTCATATCTCGTTTGTGATTAAGTCAACCTCACTCAAAAGTTGAGATAATTACATTTTCTTCTTTTTAATTATCCAGTTAGAATACAATGTCGATAGTGCCATTCTGAGACACACTGAATATAAGTAGATAGTCATTGTTCCAATATTGAAAAGTAAAAATAAGATAGCGTTAAATGTTTGGCATATTAAATCTTAAAATGTTATAACCTGCTGACATGAGATACAATCAGAAAAAATAAATAAGAGGGACTTGAGTTGGGGGAGAAAATTATATATTCTGTGCTAAATTATGTGACATAAATTAAGATGAAGTTCTTCTATAGCAAATGGACAAAGGGTCTTTTGAATCTTTTTTAAAAAAAGGACCTTAAACACTAATTTTAAAATAATATAAAAGTTCTGATATGTGATGTCTATAGCAAAATAGTTGGTTAGTTTTTTCGCCAAAGTTGGGAAAGCTATGTTCTCTAATTACCAAATATATTTCAACTGAAGCTCTGAATCTCAACTAGCTTCAGCATGAACACTTCTTGTTTGCCTTGCTGAGCAACAACTTGTGTAATAGTCGAGTCATCCTTCTATGAGAATACGGCACCTGAGAATATAAGCTTCTCAACTCATATATTCTAACAGGTTTAGGACGCTTTTTTTGCTTTCTTCTGGGGCGTTTTTTATTACCATTCCTCTTAGGTTCTGCAATGCTGGAAGAGTCCTGCACATGTTGCTTGGGAGAAGAGCTCTCGACAGCACTGGACTGCTTTTCGGCATCAGCTGATGGAATCGAGTTTGAAAGCATTTTGGCTGGTCTCTTGGCCTTCTTTAACCTCCTGAAAACAGATTTTGTCTTCTTAAGATGCATTCCAAAAAAAGCCCTCCTGGACTGATACTTGCGACGCAAAAAAACAGAGAATTTTGAGATATACTTTCTAATTATATCATTTAGTTTGGTAGGAATCCAAGTTGCCTGTTTTTCTGATGTGGTTCTGGTTATTTCCTGAACAACAACTGGTCTGTACACCTTTTTGAGTAAACCTGGCTTCTTCGTAGTTGTCGCCTTCCTTCTCTGAACTTTCTTTTTACTTTTTAAGTACTTATTTCTCACTGATTTTGAGGAGATTTTGGCAGCATCACCATTTAAGAGAGTTAACTGGAAATTCCTCCCTTTCGGAACTTCACTAGATTTCAAGATCTCTGATTTTGCCAGAAATACGGAAGACCCATTGGCCCCCTGGTCAGATGTTAATTCATGTCTTACCGACACTGTTATAAAAGGTGAAGAAGTAGAGCTTTCTACATGAGCATCGTCATTTCCTTCACTGGAGGTTAGGTCGCTAAAGCGAATTTGAATCCAGTCATCATTCCTGTCAGACTCCAGTATTTCTGTGTTCAGAGGAGAATTAATTGCAGTTTTTTTATTCAATGGGTCATAACAATCAAAGGAACTCAGTTTATATTTGTACTGGATGTTAATGTCCTGGTTGTTTTTTTCATTCTGCTGGCTAATTTCAGAGACGTTGAAGGATTCACCTTCATTCAGCTTGACATTTGAAGAAACAACATAGAATAAGGCATCGGGGTGCAAAGGCTTCAAAATGTTAGTATATGATTCAAGAAATTCCAGTCTTCCAATTTGGATTTTCTTTTTTGGTCTCCTGTCGTTGCGTAAAAGTAAACGCTTGAGTGATGGCGAGTATGTCTCATGTTCACTGACTCTTTTTGTCACTATGTAACTCATGAGACTGGTTTGAGCTCCACTGCTGACTTTTACAGTCTGGCATCTAGAAGTCACTCGCCAGGTTTGTTCATAAGGCATCTTTTCTATAGGGTCATGGCTAGGCTTATCTAAGGCTACTGAAAAGTCATCAACATTATAATCACATTCTAACAGAACTTCAATGAATGCAGTGTCATTTAGGTCTGATGAGACAATCTGTCTTTCTTCACCCGAATACTTTTTTTTCACTTTCCTGGGTTCAGAGTCATCATCAAAGTAACAGTGGAAACGACCTTCCTTAAATTCCCTCACAAGAGTGTTAATTTTTATGTCATCTTCTATCATGATTTGAGACCATGTTTTCCCCACAAATGAAGGAGGGACATGAGGCAAGGCTTCAAGAACTGGTTCGTCAGCCTTATCTTCCAAAACCAACTTTGCTTTTTTTGATCTCCTCCCAGAATCACCTTTAGAACCAGAGCTTGAATACGAGTCACGCTTCATTTCCTTCAGGCTAAAAGACATCTTCTTCACACCTTTTTGAGTTCGGTCATTGTCAGACTGAAAAGAGCGATCACACTGAATGTTCACGCCAGAAACACAAGCTTTAGAGTCCTTACTTTTTTCATCTGGACGTTTTAATTTTAACTTCAGCTTCAAACGGTTATCTCCATTAGCCATTTGAAGGTCTGCTGACTCAGGGGAGGCATTACGGCCCTTTGCAGAAACACTGCGTCGACCGCGCTTACCTCTCTGGCCTTTCTGATCTTTCTGCGTGTTGTCCTCTTTGTTAGCTTTCCGCTGTTGACGAGTCTTTGGCTGAGGAGTCTCTTCCCAATTACATTTTCTTTTAGGACTAGTAGATTTACCTCTCCTGCCTCTTGGGTTACTTTTTTTGGCCCTTTTCTTATCAGGCCCTGGTGATTGGTGAGTCTTGGACTGGCGAGAGGCATCCTTTTGAACGTTTATTTCAGAACCATAAGGCTCACAGGCTGACTCTTCCAGAATGATATAGTCTTTCTTCTGGTTTACCACTTTGAAAGTCTTTCTGGACTGGTTTGACTCTGACTGAGGAGAGCCTTCACAAACATATCCGAGGTCTGCATCACAACAGTCACAGCATGCACCTTCCAGATCAAAACTTTTTGCATTTATACCGGCAATTCCGTCGACAGTCACTTGAGGTGAGTCAATCACTGGCTGACAGGAGGCATCAGAATCAGCAATCACTTCACAATCACTGTCCCCGGTCACCAGGTCCACCAACAGCACCTTTTGAGGTTCGGCTTCTTTGACCGACACCTGATATTCATCCACTATTATTTGAAGAGGGACATCAGAATCAGACATTATTTCAGAATCACTAGTCTTTTCTTCCATGCCAAGATGCGATGTCTTCTGAAGGCTCATGTCTTTGCAAACCATTTGAGGATGGTCGACGTCTAACTGCAGATGAATACCAGAATCACATTTTATTCCAGAAACGCTCGGTTCACAGTGCTGATTTTCTAAGTCATTATGATCCCTCTTTTCCAAGTTTATCTCTTTGACAGCCAAAGGGCACTGACCAACCACTAACTGAACAGGAGCATCAGAGTCACATCTTATTTGATAACCAGATAGTTTATAGGCATCTCCCAGGTAAATATGGCCTTCCTTCCAAAGACTTACTTTATCAGCTTTGTCAAGCTGGTCAGCCACAGACTGAACAGGATCGTCACAAGTAAAACTTATTTCAGGACCACAAGAATCACTGCTCTTATCGTCCAAATTGGCATGTTCCTCTTCCAAAATGTGTGGATGCTCAACTGCTGGTTGAAAATGGACATTTGAAACATAAATCATGGCAGAATCCTTGGGATCATAGCCCTTGTCATGCAGACAAGCATGTCCCTCCCTCAGATTTATTTCTGCAGTAGCCTCTTGAATTTCATTAGCCACAGAATGAACATGTTCATTAGAGTCAAAATTTAGTGTAGAATCAGTGGGTTTGACAATCCTACCTTCCATGTCCACAGGCTTCTTCCAACGGTTAATCTCCTTAATAATTTCCTCCGTCTGGCCCGCCACTGACTGAAAACGAACATTAGAATCATACATAATTGCAAAACCATCAGATTTATCCGTTGTCTCTTCCACATCTTCATCCTTCCAAAGGCTTATTTCTTTAACAGTTTCTCTAACCTGCTCAGCCACTGACTGAAGAGGGTCATCAGAGTCAAAACTTATTTCAGAACCACAGGATTTATGGTGTTTATCTTCTAGCTCAATATGCTCTTTCTCCAAAATAGTTATTTGAGACTGATCAACTCTTGACTGAGCCAAGTAATCAGAATCCAAGCTCATGTCAGAACCACTATATTGGCTGTTATTATCTTCCAAGTATACATGACCTTCATTCTCAAGGTTTATTTGTTTAATAGCTGCTTCAGGTTGATCAGGCACAGACTGAGGAGAAACATCAGAATCCTGTATTAATTTAGACTCACTAGGTTTATCGACTTTATTTTCTAGGTCAATATCCTTTACCTCCCACAGGTTTGTTTTTTGAGTCACGTCCTGAAATTGTGCAGCCAATGGCTGAGGCGGGTCATCAGACCCCAATTTTACTTTACAATCGCCAGATTTGCTGCTTGTGTTCTCCAGATCAACATGTTTTTTCTTCAAAGGGGCTAGCTGAGGTTTCTCAATGACTGATGGACGAGGGGGACCAATATCCAAATTTATATCGAAACCTCTAGATTTAGTGCTTTCAACTTCTGGGTCAACATGGTCCTCCCTCAAAACAGGTAGCTGAGGTTTTTCAGTCATCAAATGAGGAAGGACATTTATTTCAGAGCCACTATATTTATCACTCTGGTTTTTTAAAACATATTCATCTTTCTGATCATTTTTTTCTTTAACAGCTATTTGAGGTTCAGTCACTGAATAATGAGAGACATCAGAATCTAAATTTGCTTCAGAACCGCTAAGTGCAGCATGCTTTTCTTTTTGAAGCAACATTTCTTTAAGAACTACATCAGTTCTTCGAATAACTGACTGAAGGGGGAAACCGAAATCCAATCTTGTTCCAGAAACATTTAATTCATTACCCTTGTCTTTTATTTGTTCTTCTTTCGGATTGTTTATTTCTTTCACAGCTCCGTCAAGATGATGGGTCACTGAATGAGAAATAGAAGATTTCAAACTGTTTTCAGGAACATCAGGTCCATTACCCTTATTTTCCAGCTGTACGTACTCATCTTTCTGGAGGTTTACTTCTTCACTGGGATTTTCAGAATGTCCAATTGTTGAGTGATAATTCAAACTTAATCCAGAAACACTAGGCTCAATGTGCATCGGTTCTTCTTCTTGAAGTTTCAGTCTTTTAGCAAGAACTCCAGGAGAATTTGTCACTGAAAGAGGAGGGACATAAAAATCCAAACTTATTTTAGAACCACTGGGTTCATCATTCTTCCTTCCTAAGTGTTTATAGTCTTCTTTCTGAATAATTACCTCTTTAACACCTACTTCAGATTGATCGGTCTCTGAAGGAAGAGGTACATTGGAATCAAAAGCCATTTCAGAACCACAAAATTCATTATTCTTATTTACCTGATCAACAGGTTCCTCCTCAGCTACTTGAGGTTGGTCAACTACTGGGCAAAGATGAATATCAGAGTTAAAAGTCATTTCAGAACTATTTGACCCACAGCTCTCATCTTCCATGTTAATGTCCTTTTTCCTTATTTCTTCTACATTCAGCTCAGAATGCTCAGTAACTGACAGAAGAGGAGGGTCAGAATCAAAAGTGAATTCAGAGCTGGAGCATCCATAGCTCTTAACTTCCATATCAACATTTGACTCTTTCATATTTATGTCGCCCAGAGCTCCAGGTGGTTGTTCATTAGCTGACTGTTGAAGAGAAGCATGAGAATTAACACTTAGGTCAGAAACACTAGAGTTAGCACTCTTATTCTGCAGGTCAATAGCTGCTTCTTGAGGGTTTACTTCCTGAACTGCTGCTACTTGAGGTTGGGCAGCCACTAATTGAGCATCAGTGTGGAAATTCATTTCAGGACTGTAGTATTCACAGTTCATGTCCATAAGGTCGTTGTTCTCTTTCGGAAGATTTATTTCTTCAGCAGCCCTCTGAGGTTCATCGGCCACTGCCTCGAGAGAGGTATCACAGTCAAGATGTGCTTGAGCACTACTGGATTTGTTGTTATCGTTCACGTAGACAGGCCCCTCCCTTAGGTTTCCTTCTTTGACAGTCAGTTGGGGATGGACAATTACTGACTGAAGAGAAACATCACAACCAACACTTGTTTCAGAACAACTCGATCCATAGTTCCTATCAACCAAGCCAGTGTACACCTCCTCCTGAGGTTCTGTTTCAGTGACAGCCACTGGGAGTTCCTCAATCACTGACTGAAGTGGTACAACAGAACCAGCACTTATTTCAGAGCTACCAGATCCATAGTTGTTATCTAAGTCCATGGGTGCCTCCTGAGGAAGGTCTACTTCTTCTGCAGGCTCTTGGGCGTCGTCATCAGTTGGCTGAACTGAGGTGTCACCATCAAAATTCATCTCAGAATCACTGGAATCATAGCTTTCATCAACCAGGCGAACATGCACTGCCTTCTGAACACTAGCGCCTTTAACGATTACTTGAATTCGGTTGGTAGCCAACTGCAGAGGGCCATCGTGAACAGAACTTACTTCAGAAACACAAGATTCATTGCTGTTCTGCTGCAAATCATCATGCACTTCCTCGGAAAGGTTTGTTTCTTGGGCAGTCACTTTTGGTTGGTCAGTCACTGAATAAAAAGAGGAACTGCAGTCAAAACTCATCTCAGAAGCTCTTGATTCATAGGTCTTATCTTCTTGGTCAATTTGCCCCTCGTTGCAAAGATCTTGGACAGCCACTTCAGGTTGATCAGACACTGACTGAGAGCCACAAGCAAAGTCCATTTTAGTAATCACTGAGCATTTCTGTTCCAAAGAGGCTGGCTTGTTAAAAACCACCTGCTTTTTGTCTTGGGTACGATCCGTATTAGGAAAGGATTTCTCACGGTGCTTTGGAATGGCACCTTCAAAGGTTCCTTTATTAGAAGGCATATCAGTTTTATTCTGATTGACTGTGGGGTTAACTGCTAATTTGGAAACTGACTCAACATTTAAGGAACCCTCAGTGCCCATAGATGCATGTGATTGAAAGCCAGGTGACAGAGTTTTACCCCGAGATTTTACATCTTCCTGTATAACCGATTTATCTGGATTTATACATACAGATTTTCTATTTGACTCTTTAGGTTTCGGATTTAAACGTGAAGAATTTTCCAGACTGGTTGAGGGCCTAGGATTTCTAGAGCCCCCGTCTCCCTGTTCAAGGGATCTGTCAACTTTGTTTGGGTCACATTTGTTAACCGAATCCAAATTGCCTGCTACTGGTAACCTAGCAGTACTAGTTATAACTGGTCGAGCATTAGCACTCTCGGGCAAAGGACGAGCAGGAGCAGTGGAAATCACTGAGGGACCTAATGGGTTTTTCCCAGTATTTGTAGCTTGACCAACACCTACTGGGTTAAATTCTTTCAGGCCACTCCCAATTTTATAAACAAACTCCAAGGGCTTCTGCCGCCCCTTCTCCAATTTTTGAATAACTGACGGCCGAATTGGAACACCCTGCATACATTCCTGTGATACACTAGGTCTAGAATGCAACTCTCCAGTAGGTGCAGAATTGTGGGTGCGTATCTCTCCTCTGGCTCCAGGAGCATCATCAGCCATTTCTTCAGAAGCAGAGTCATCCATGAGAATCACTTCAGCAGCTGCGTCATCCCCAGCAGGCACCGCATCATCCCCAGCAGGTGCATTATTCCCGGCAGGCGGGGCGTTATTCTCATTTGGTCCTGATCTAAAAAGAAAAGGGGGTAATCATAAAAACATTTTAATATCTGTTTAAAATGTTTAAATAAGGACACAATGGTATTTTCTTTTTATCCTAGGTGAGATTCTTAGAGGACAAATAATTGAGCCTATCACACCAGGCTGTATAATGCATTTCAGTAAGGTAATGAGTGCAGCTGGAAGCAGCTCCACCAACTGCTACTTAATAAACACAAATGGCTCCTAAACATACGAAAAAATGTAAAGGCATACCTCATTTTTTGGTTATCAGAGCAGCAAACAGCATAAAGTTTAACACAAGTTACTTAACCTTTTAGGCTTTAGGCCTCCCCTTCCCCCGCAAAGAAGATAATACTATTTCCCTCATTAGACTGTTTTGAAAAGTAAACTAGTTGTTACATGTAAAGAACATTTTTTTAAATCCTGGAAAATAGTAATCATTCACAGGCATTAACTATTATTATTTTAACACATTGTTTGGGCAAAGGTGCAGTAACAGGCACTTTAACACATTATTGGTAGGAATATAGATGAGTTTATATGAAGAACAATTTTGTAATGCCTATTAAAATTAAAAATGCCAGGAAGAGTCTAAAGAGATATAACAAGCTAATGCAATCTGATTATCCTGGATGGGATTCTGAACCAAAAAAAAAAAAAGATATTAGGTGAAAACTAGGGAAACCTGAATAAATTACAGAATTCAGTTAATATATTACATTGGTTCATTAACTGTAACAAATGTACCACACTAATGTAAGATGTTATTAATAGGGAAACTGGGTGAGGGGGGTATATAAAAACTCTCTGCACTATCTTAATTTTTCTGTAAATCTAAAACTACCTAAAAATATAGTCTATTGAAAAATAATAAAAATTTTAAATATATTAACACCTAAAAATACCTTTATTACATACTTTTAAATTTGAGAGATGCCACAACTGCTTAAGAGAATATGCATACATATAAAAATATATTATCGCAATTAATATCAAGATAGTGCTTTGGTATTGTAAAATAAAAATGTTAACCCTGGCATCAAAAATAATATCATGAAGAGCCATACTTCTGAACTCTCTAATCAATAAAATTGCAGTACAATAACCACTCTACCCTAGTTTTTCAGAACCCTAGTGGAGTATCTCCATTTGTCTCAAACACTATCACAACATTCTCAAAATAAAATCAATTTTGTATCATTTGGCTAAGAAAAGAAAGGAAGAAAAAGACATTCAGAATCATGAAATCCATCAAGATGGCAATGTGCAAAGGGGAGTTGCTAGATACCATTTCACATTATATTCCCTGATTCAAAGATGCACTCTAAGAAGGGCTGAATGTTAACGCAAATATCTGCTGTAACACATAATAACAACTATGTACTAATATTATTCCACTCAGTTACATTACCTGCTTTCTTGGTAATGATAGGGGTGGTGCAGCAGGACGTCCTGCAAGAAACGTTCCATCAAACTACTACTGGGGACCTCAGCATCTCGTTCTCCTGCTCCTGACCCTGCTCCTCCTGAACCTCCTGGTCCTCCTTGTCCTGCTGGTCCTCCTTGTGCTGCTGGTCCTCCTTGTCCTCCTGCTCCTCCTGCACCTCCTGCTCCTCCTGCACCTCCTGCTCCTCCTGCACCTCCTGCTCCTCCTCCACCACCACCACTACCACCACCCATCCGTTCTCTATTCTGTGCGGTCATGAATCGGTGTTCTGGACTGTTCACATGCTGTACAGAAGAAAGAAACTGAGTATTTTTAAGTGGGTCATATTCGGCAGTGAGAGTTTCACAAAATGGGTTCATTTACAAATACACTCCTGATAGACGTATACGCTGAAATGCCCTTTCTATAAAGCAATTCTAAAATATACATCTAAAATCCGTAAGATTACCTTTCTCTTAGATATAATAATGACAGCTCAGTCTCTCCTAAGAGAATCGTCTTAAATGTGGGCGATGTGTGCAAAAAAAAATGATGCTTAATCACAGCATAACAAGCATCTCTTCTTTAAGATTTTTTTGTATTGATTTTCAGAGAGAAAAGGAGAGGGGGAGAGACATCTATGTGAGAGTGAAACATCAATTGGCTGCCCTCCTGCGTGTCCTGTACCAGGAATCAAACCCACAACTTTTTTGTACTCAGGATGATGCCCAAGCAACTGAGCTACCCGAGCCAGGGTATAAATATCTTTTCTAAATCTCATTTTCTGTGTGGTGTTTGTATATAAAAGTACAGTATCTTTTTATGCCAGCCCAACAAGCTTTTTAAACTCACTTATCAATACTAATAGTTTATCTAGGCAACTTTGGAATTTTCTATTCCACAATCACATTGTGTACAAATAAGAATAGTTTTATTTATTCTTATCTAAGAATAGTTTTATTTATTCTTTATCATTGTCATTCTTTTTCTTTTTCTTATTTATCTGACTAGGACCTCTGGTAAAATATTGCATATAGTTTAACTCAAGCATCAAATCTATTTTTTCCTCAATATATTTGGATCTAATCTTTGTTTTTATTTTTAAATCTCTTTTTATTATTCTTGCTAATACAATGTCCCCATTTCTCTTCTTTCTTGCTGTCTTGTGAACTATTTTTATTATTCCAATTTGTTCCTATTAACTTAGTTACAGATATATTAGTCCATTAGTGGGAACAGTATATATCAAGCAACCTGACCTATCAAAGTCTAAAATTATTTGTTACTTTTACTCTCTTCTTGAGCAATGCAACGTCCAATTAACTCAATTTACTTTCCTTCCAATTTAGATGCCATTTCTGTTAATCCCATGTGACATTAATTATTTAGATAGCCTACATATTTACACTTCCATTGCTCTTTATTCCTTCCCATATCTCTGAGCTTCCAACTGGAATTCTTTTCCTTACACCTGAAGAAATACTTTTTCTATTTCCTTTAGTTCCTTAATTTTTGTTTTTGTAAAATAAAATGTTTCTATTGCACCTCCTTTTAAATGATATACTTATTAAATATAGAATTCTAAGGTAGTGTTATTTTCTTTCTTTTGGCTTCTACTGTTTTTGTTTAATATTCAGCCACATTGGAGTTCCTTATTTCTTCACTGCCTTAATAGTTCTCCAAAGCCTTGAAATTTGAGCTTTCAAAGATAGGACAAATTATTTTTTGCTGTCATTAACACAGTCTTTTTAAATGTCCGTTTAGTGCAGGAATATCCAAATGTCTAAAAATTACTTTAAGCAAAAAAAAAAAAATTATACAAGAGCTTATTGCATAAAACGTGTTGTTAAAGATTTAATATATTTTATCATTATCAAAGGTTCAACAGATAATCTTCCAGTCAAGTGATGATATAATTTATGAGAGAAATATTAAAAAGAGTTTTGAGATTTATTATCTGCCTCCTCGTGTTTATAACAGCATTAAAAAGTATTTCTTTCTTAAAAGGCAGAGGTGTGGAAATCACAATAATAAAACTTTGCCTTAATATAAATTTAAGTGATTACTGTTAGATAATTAAACAAGGCAAATGCCACTAAAAAGATTTTTTTCACACGTTATAAACCTGTGTTTGATATATAAGATGAAAGTTTAGCACTAGCAGAACCAGAACTTGATTATACTACAACTTCACCTATGACATGATTCCCTTATGAACATAAACGCAAAAATCCTCAACGGAATACTTACTAGCAAACCAAACCCAGCAACACATAAAAATCACCATTTCTGGACTCTCGTTTACTGCTTAAGAGATAGCACATTGTTCTTAAAGTACAGCTGGCACTTGCATTTTTGCTGGGTTTAAAATCTGAAACTCAATCAATTGTAATTGCTATAATAGACTGAATTCTGTTCCCGCCAAATTTGTATGTTGAAGTTCTAACTGCCAAAATGACTCAGTTTGGAGACAAGGCTTTTAGGAGCTAAGTAAATCACATCCTTATTTTATTTCCCTCGTAACATTTATCACAATCTGACATAGGTATTACGTTTATATATCTATTTTCTGTTTGATTGTACCATAATGTAAGTTTCATAAATAAAAGGACCTGGTTTTGTTCATGGTCATATTCCTAGAACCTTAAACAGTGTCTGTCAGTGAGAAGGTTGTTATTATGATCTGTTTAATGAATGAATTTTTTAAAATGACTAGAATGTGAAAGAAGAGGTAGTCACTCATAAGTCCTTTGAGGTGTAATAACCATATTAACAGGGTCCTCTCACCTCGTCCAGATCGGTATAGCGCAGGAGGCAATAGCTGCAATATCCGTATCTGTTTGGCATGTTGAATAACCAAAGTCAAAAGGTATTGTCGGTTGAATATTCAAAGACTGGGGGAAAAATGGCAAAAATCACAATTCCTTACTATCACAAGGAAAATAGCTACGATTAATATCAGAGAACAGAATTTCGTTCTTGAAACCTAACCACTCTTTTTTCTCATAATTATGAAAATAGAGAAGGCTTCTTCCTATGAGATACGGAATCAATCAGGGAACCTAAAGTAAAGATGATAGCATTAGGACTGATACAGTATTGAAGAATACCATACTCAATTTTAAAGACAAAGTACTATTTCTAAGTTGTTACTATTGTATATTTTCTATACACTAACGAGGCTCATGAATTTTCCCATTATGCTTCTATACAAAATCCCAGGTTACTTAAATTGCCAGTGTCATATATAACATCTAATTCTCTGTCATGAGAGGAAAGATCACAGTTGGATTTTCTGTTAGTCCAGAAAGGGGCAGATTTTGAAATACTTCACCCAACAACGTTGCTGAAAATAAAAATAACAACAAATTTAACCTCTGAAATGCAAGACATTTCTCTGACAATTACATAAACCAAATGAGGAATTTTTTTCCAATTGGTGTAATGTAAAATATTTCTCTACAAATATTTTCCAAGTTTCTACCCCTTAAAACTATAATCCTTTAACAATACATACTGCAGTGATTTCTAAATGAGAATAAATATCAAAATCATCCCCCCAAATTTTGATTTAGAGGAGCTGAAACAATCTAGAATTTAGAATTTTTTAAATTTCCAAGTAACTTTTATCTAAATCCAATTCATTCACTGACACAAAGTATATATAGCTTATGATTATTTGAGTAACAAATTCAATACAGTTTTTGCTGTTTTCTTAAAGTTAAAATAAAACTGTAAGAAATAATTTTATCACATTTTAAATTCTAATTATTGTAAACATTGCAGGTTGGGAAATATATAACAAAATGATCCTATAGCATTATGAATATTTCTGATAAGAAGGATGGCTCTGCAACAGAAAAAGTTGACTCATTAAAATCAATGTTTAAAAATTATTTCAGAGTCTTAAAACCAGTAAAATGAGAACAGAAAATAGCTTCATTAAGTAAAATGCTGTAACATTCACTTACCTATTACTTTTTATTATGAGAAACTGACTTTTCTACTTCCCACACTTATGTGGAAAGTGAATCAATTAAACCAGCCTCTGAAATAAAGAATATATAAGAAATGACTTACTTGTAATTTAGTCTTATTTCTATTAATTTACTTCATTTGTAATCTGAAGCAACAAAGTGAATCAAGCTTTAAGTTGTATTTATAGATATAAAAATTTTCAGGTTGAGAGAACCCTAGAGCTTAAACCTAAACGTTGAAAATCATTATATAAAAAACTTTTTGTGCTTTCTTAATGAAAACATTCATTGAATGAAAGGCAAAGTGAAAGCATGAGCCTAATGTCACACATACACACACACACACAAAATCGAAATACTTCAAATATTTTTAAAATCTTTAACCTTTATGTCCTTCAACTCCCGTTGCATTATTACCTGCCATTTCCATCATCTTCAGTGTCATGTACATTCTACAATGACAATGAGCTACAATGAATCAGAAGCACCTGTCGGCGTTTTTTAAAACTCACATGCTAGGACTCACCTGAAAAACTTACTGAATCAAAATCCGCTGAAGAGACAAGCCCATGCATATTCCACATATTTTTTTAAAATATTTTTTATTGATTTCAGAGAGGAAAGAAGGAGAGACAGAAACATCAATAATGAGAAAGAATCATGGATCGGCTGCCTCCTGCACTCCCCACACTGGGGATGGAGTCTGCAACCCGCAACCCGGGCAAGTGCCCTGACAGGGGAATTAAATCATTAAGTCCTGGTTCACAGGTCCTCGCTCAGCCACACTGGCCCAGGCAATTCCACATATTAAAAATGCCCCCAGGTGACTCTGATATAGGTTGAGCCAATAATATGTCATTCCTTTATGTACTAATAAAATTCTTACTTAAAAGGATCATTTCTTTGGGGTCTGGGATTATATTGCATTGCATGACTAACTAGGTCTTTTTATACAATCTCTGAATTCTACTGGTACCTGGTATTTTTAAGAAGTAGCAAGTCATTTACCTTCAGCAGAAAAGGGCAGGTATTTCATCAGCTGTATTAGTCCCAGCAAACATCTGTAAATTAAAATAATTTTTTTGAAAAAGATAAGCTCCGTAAGTGTCTAACACTTGCCAAATAAACACCTCCAAGTTATATTTCTTTGAAAAGAGACATAATTAAGTTTCCAAAAATAAGAAGAGAAAAAATATTAACTCTTGAACACCTTAAATGACTGCCTAAGGTGCTCTAGACCAGAGTAACTGTGATGGTCCATATAATCCCCATCAAATACATCAAATCTCTGGGATTTGAGAATAGCAGCTGGAAGAGAATGTAAGGCAAAACTGTGCCTCTAAGGTTAAGAACAAAGATACCATCAAACTCCAAATAAGCTCCATAAGAAACTTTTAAAAGAAATATTTATGTGAAATTAAGTTTAGGTTCTGAACTCACCACCCCACTTTTAGTTCCTGTGTTAATTTTTATGAAAGATACTGTCAATTCTTTACCATCTATCTATATCTATCGACAACTCAGCCAAATTATCAATTCTTTTTTTTTCCCCCCACACTGTTGTAAGCAAAGTGTTGACTCTTATCCAGGATTACTGGTGAACACAAAACGCCGCTGCTTTGACTCAAAAGAGCTGGTGACAGCGCTGTGTATTCAAAGAATAGGTATTCAGCACCTATCCTGTGTAAGGTGCCATGGTAGAAGCTTTAAGGGATAGAGAGAAATATAAGACAAGCTTTCTCGCCCTTAAGAAGTTTAAAATGGAATTAGGAAATTAACACAAAAATACCAGGTGGTATCTGAGAAATGCGTAAGCACAAATAATAACTGCTAATTTGTTTTTAACAGGAGGGGCCAGGATGCATAGTAGATATGAGTGTTTTTTGTTTTGTTTTTTTTAAACTGGAAATTGGAAAATGTGTAGAATTAACTTACACAAAGGTCAGAAAAAGATATTCCAAGTAACAAAAAAGCAAAAGTACAGAAGCAAGAAAGCACAAGGTATATTTGGAGATATTGAGCTGACAAGTACAGAGAGAGCTGAGGTTTCCTTTAAGAATTTAAGGGGCTTTAATAAAGCAAGAAAAGTAGATTGAGTTTTGACATGATAAGGTTTCAAAGCGGACTAAAGAATCTAGACCATATCTTTAGGCAGTATGGAAATATTTTGGAAAGAAGCATATATATATGCTTTAAGAAAGAGTGCTTCAAAGAAGTGCTTTAAGAAAATTCTGGAACAATGGTTATTTCCTACTCAAAGGAGCTTTTCCAGGGTAAGGAATATAATTGTTACACTATTCAGCACCATTTCCTAGAATACTGGAGAAATTAATTTATACCCAAAATTTTCAAGTTCAAAGAAACAGTATCCTTTAGAGCAAAAATTTAGTCTCATTATGCTTGCAAATTAGGAAAACACTCACAAATTTTTTCTTTAAAAATGACTTTTATTCATTTTTATTATGAAAGTAAAGCATACTTATTATAATGCAATTATATAGCTAAAGAAATAATGAGCATAAAAATCAACCATAATCCCACTATCCACCATTAATTAACATTTATCATATATTCTTCTTTATTCTAAACATGTTTTTATAAAAATTGAATGATTCTATTTGGTCCATTCTATAGCCTCCTCTGTTACTTAATCCAGTGGTCGGCAAACTCATTAGTCAACAGAGCCAAATATCAACAGTACGACGACTGAAATTTCTTTTGAGAGCCAATTTTTTTAAACTTAAACTATATAGGTAGGTACATTGTTATTAACTTAATTAGGGCACTCCTAAGAGCTTAGGAAGAGCCACACTCAAGGGGCCAAAGAGCCGCAAGTGGCTTGCAAGCCACAGTTTGCCGACCACGGACTTAACCATATAGGATAAGCACCTCTATATGTTACATAATTCCAAAACAGAATGTTTAATTGATTGCATAGTTTAATTGATTTATTTCATCTTATTAGTGTAAGAAGAAAGCCTTCTTATCTGCTAGAACCCAATAATTAATGAACTTTTAAAAAACTGTATACACACATAATCTTACTATTTTATCTAACTTAAAATATAGAAATGTATGTGTGTTTTATTTAAGGGCAAATCAGGCTTTTTTGTTTCACTGAGGGCTTTCTGTGCACAGAAGAGCGAGAGTTCCGAGTCATTTGTTTTCCCATGCTTTCAAAAACCTCATCATAATAATTTATACTCAACAAGTTTCCATTTTGCTCCTCTAAAGCAGAACAAAAACTTAAAGACATATTCAAAACTGAGAGCACCATTATGAGTGTTTAGGAATTTGTGCAACCTTTTGCAGTTGTCCTGCCCAATTAAGAATTTTTGCACAAGCATTTTTTTATAGTCTAAAGCATTTAACTTATTTTTCATAAGTGTAACTACTATAAAAATGGCAATGCTTACACTCTTATTTCCTTGGTGTATGTTAATGTTTAAAACTGCACAAAGCGACATGGGCGTTGAACAGAGACTCTGGACTGTCTGAAAGGATTTCACAACTGTCTCAAAACCGACAAAAAATTGCATTTATTTTTTTTTCCAGATTATTTCTTGCACACCTGTTTTGTTGACATGAGTTCAGAGCTATAGTGTGTGTGTTCCTCACGCTGACTTCGGTGTTGAAATAGAAGCTAACAAAATTCAGAATCCCTATGGGAAATATTTGTCAACAGTCTGACAAGAGAGACAGCAATTTACTAGAAAAGACAGGAAAACAGCAATTGGTCTGTTGAATAAAATAATTTAATTACCTGTCTAGGAAAGGGGGCAGGATTGGGAAGCAAATACTATTTTTTAAAATCGTAATTCATTGTCTCTTTCTTTACAACATTAAACTGATTCGGCTTCCCTTTTTTTTTTTTAAATTATCCATTTTACGCTGGTTTAGCTCTAGTGACAAGCATTATCCTGGACACCTCAATTCAGTCTTATTAAAATAATAATAGCTAGCTTTTAGTGAGTACTTAATCTGACCCAGGGACTATGTCAACAGTTTCACAAGCATTATTTCATCTGAATATCAAACAGATTTACAAAATCTAGAAACTGAGGTTCAGAGAGAAGCGGTATTTTGTTCCCGGTCACACAATAATACCCAGTGCGGCAGGGATGTGACCCTAGGTCAATCTGAGCAGTCCCCGCTCCTAACCTCCTCGCTACTATAAAATGCTCCCTTCTCTGCATTTTCGGGAATGCTAATTGCTTGTTTTAATATTAGGTGAAAACAAATAATTAGGAATCTAATTTGCCTCAATAAACACTGTCACATATTCCAAAGAAAAGAGTAAAACTAATATTTAGCATAATTGCATCACTGCTCCCATTCTGCGATGAGCGCTGACAGTACCTTGGATTAGTGACTTTCAAAATTAAATATCGTGGCACAGGAAAGCAATACATTGTATATCACAACCCAGCAGGCACACATGCACGAAGGCAAAGGCGCGCGCGCGCACACACACGCACACAGTTTTGCGAAAACAATACCTTCATGATGCGTAATGTAATGCATTCTGGTCTTTTCTATGCTATTTTGTTTCCCTTTTTTTTTTGAAGTGCTCATTATGACTCACCAAATTAATTTCACAATTTACCAATGAATGGATTGAAAACTACAATTTGTAAGAAAAAAACACTGCCTCACATTATTAAGCAGAACAAACACTATTTTATAAAAGATGGTTGTGACCCTTAATTCAGTCTATTGCCATCCAATATCTTGGCCATTATAGTGGTGCTTTTCAAGTATTTAACGAGTGTCTTTACTAAGGCTGACGGTTGTTGGCCAAGGTGCAGGGGGAAAAAATCACTGCCTTTCATGCTTTGGGTCCAAATCAGTGCGCGCTGATAAGGCAGTGGAGGGATGTTTACCCATCTATATAGAGAACATCTTCAATGTATTAAGTAGAAAAAGCAGATCACATTAGTACCCCAAATATGTAACAAATGAATATAATTAACGAAACCCCAATTAACAGTGACTCTCTTAAAGATGAGCTTGCTATGGGCTTTTTCAGTGTGTTTTTTTTTCCTGGTAATATCTATTTGCTGTAAA